TTTCTAAAATCGTCCCAAAAAATTGCAGCAAAAGTCCTTAAATTTTTTAAAAAAAATGGCACCAGGCCAAAACCCGCACCTAGACAGCCCAAATGCACACTCCGACTCAAGCCGCGCGTACGGATTCCTCTTTTGCCCTTTTGCAATTCAATCCTCAAGAAACATGCTAGGTCCCCACAACTTTGATTTTCTTTATTTTTATCCTTGAATTTTGTATATTCTTTCAATTACGCCTTCCATAAATTGCATCCAGGGTCCTTCAATTTGGATACTTGTGCACTTTAATCCTCATTTTCATGATTTTGTATGTATTTGGTCCCTTTTTCTCTTCCTTTCTCCCTTTTCTGCTACAATTGGTGGTATTTCACCTATAAAAGTAAATATTACCCGATTGTGAATAAAATTTCATTCATTTAATTAATAAGCTTGAATTAAATGCCCAATAAATGTGTAAAAACACATTTATTATGAACTGTTACTGGAAAAATATAATTTCCTATTTATACAATTACATTTTTTTATATGAAAAACTTGTCGCGTGTAAAATAATTTTGTTACATATTCAGATTTAATTCTTTTAGTTAACGCATCTTCAACCTCGATCATTATTAAAATTAACTTTAAATAACTTAGTTATACATTTTTTTCGTTAAAAACTTCATATATCTTCACTTATATATCAAGTGAAAGGGTTCATGATGCAATAAAAAAGTCTCAAATCTCTGCTTCCATTGAGGATGTGTTCGGGTTCCTTTTATTATTATTATTACTATTTTTTTTTTGGGATTAAAAATGAGTTTTATAATAGTCATTTGGGGGGGGGATGTTTGATTAAAAAGTTTAAAAAAAAGTTAAATTTATGGGAAAAATATTTTATTATGATAAAATATGATTGAAAATGAATTTTAAAAAATGAATAATTTTTAGATAATAGGAACAAACATAGGTGTATTATTTTTAGGAGTTGAGATTTGCTATCCAAATTTTCTTGTCCAATTTGCTGTGCACTCAACCAATTATTGACACATCATTTTGCTGTCTGTTGCGAGAGACAGTATTTAACATTATTAAATAGTTGTTAAAGTGAAAATTTTTAATTTATGGCATGTTAATTTAAAATGATGTAGAGTTTGACAATCGATCTCGACTCTAATTTTAAAACATCTTCAATAGTGGTGTAAAATTGGGTATAAATTAATATATCCAAAATCACTTTTGCTTCCTTATATACATTTCGGTAGATTTAAATTTAAATATTGCTTCAATTGAAAGATCTAAATTCAAGTTTTGTCTTTTATGAATGTACAAAAATTGTAAATTTACATATATATATATATTTGCCAAAAAAATACAATTTATATTTTCTTTACATCTCTCCATTGAAGAAATCTCCATTCATTTTAAAGATTTAAACATTAATTTTAATTTTTTTACATCACAATTGAAAATTCTTTTAGGGCATAAAAGACTTTAATGTTGCATTTAGTTGGCGCAAGCAACATAGTTTTTGACCGTTATGTCTCATCAACAAGTAATATGTAAAAAATAACATTATAATACTAAGCAAGAGTAACAATTAATTGTATTACGAATGGCATATCAAATTTTAACTATACGGTACTTAAAAATGAAAAAAAAAATTAATCTTTTTGAAAACCTTACTTCAAATGCACAATTTTATACATTAATTTTATCATGAAATAGTGAATAAATTTGAGAATAGTAGCAATCACGAGATTACAAGTGGAAGATCAGAATATATCATTTTACACTATATGTGACTAAAGAAACTCAAAATACATTTTTCGTAGAAAAATCTTACTTTGAGCATATTTGATTTAGATTTTTTGATAAAAATGATTATTTATTTATTTATTTGAAGAATGTATAGTCAAAAGTATAAAAAATTATGGATTCACGTGTAAATTTACTTTATTGAAAAAAATGTTTAGTTCAAAACAAATTTGAGGGAAAAAAATGAGTTTCGAATATTCTCTATCAAATAGGGATTTCAATGCACAAAATTTAGACATTGTTTTTATGAAATAATTGATAAATTTTTGAATTTGTAAATAATAACAAGCAAGAGTAAAAAATAAATTGTGAGGAAGATAATAAATGTTACTAAAGAAATTTAAAATACGTATTTCTGGAAATCATAATAAAATGCACAATAGACCTTATTTAATAATTGTGAATAAACTTTTAATTTGTGAATAATAGAAAAAAATAAAAAAATAAACATTAAATCATTTTGCGAATCTCTCAAGTATTTGGATAGACGTACTTTTTGGGTATATCAATTAGCATCGTCAATTTCACCATCAATCCAACTTCGCTCTGCTGATCAAACCCTAACTTCAAGCTCCTCGCCTGAACGGTACGCAAATCACTAGCAAAGAGCTGCTCCACAGAACATGGCTGTTGAACTTTGATGACGACTTTCAGGTATTTATAGCTTTCATAATTCTCTGTTTTCGTTTTTTTTTTTTTTTTTTTTTTTTTTATTTTTTTTTTTTTTTTTTTTTTTTTTTTTTTTTTTTGGCAATGTGAATTTTCATTTATATAAGTATATATTTTCTGATTGTCAACATGGATATGTATATCTTTATGATACGTTCAAGGTTTATGGGATATTGTGTGTTAACTGTTGGTTAACTTTCTTTATTGTGCAGATACTTTTTCATTTTGTATGTTATTGTTATGGGTTGGAATCTGAAGTATATGGTGAAAAAATGGTAATTTTGTAGCGCAATTGGCAAGAGTTCTTCTGGAATTGTGAACAGCTGACTGGATAATGGAGAGTCTAGGAATAATGATAGGGACAAAAGGCGTAATCAAGAAGCATGAATTTGTAAGAATTATCATTCAATGTTTATATTCCTTAGGCTATGAGAAGTCTGCTGCTTGTTTAGAAACTGAGTCCAACATTTCATGCAAATCACGGGAATTTGAGTCCCTCGAATCACATGTTCTCAGTGCAAGTTGGGATGATTGCATTGAGACTCTTAATAGAATCAATGGCATGAATGATGAAACTAGAGCTTCTGCATTATTCCTTGTTCTTGAGCAGTTCTTGTTTGAATGTTTGAATTGTGGGGACAATTCTTTGGCTTTGGAAATATTACAGAAACGGATTGCTTGTTTGAAGGTGGATAAAGAAAAGATTCACAAGTGTGCATTTGAGATGCTTTTTCTGAAGCAACGTGGAAGGGGTAGTGTTGACTGCAATGTGATTCATGAGTTGAGAAAAGGATTGGTCGTGAAACTGGAAAAAGTTTTGCCTCCACCCATTTCATTGCCTGATCGCAGGCTGGAGCATTTGGTTGAAACGGCTGTCAGTGCTCAGATTGATAATTGTATTTACCATTGTTCTGACATGGAATCCCTGTATGAAGACCACCATTGTGATCGAGATCAGTTTCCTACTGAGACCATTCAGGTTGACTAATATCCCTCTCTGACTTTTATTGGCTGCAACTGAAAGATTATGTCTTTAAGCTTTTAATATTCTAGTCTGGAAATTTATCCACTACCTTAAAGAATGCCTAAATTAATTTTTGTAACTTCCATCCATTGGCTGCTAACTAATCATACACAGTGGGTCAATTTTCATAAATTTCTTTGTAAATGTTAAATATGCATAAAACAAATGTGAGAAGGAATAAATCATATGTTTGGCTAGTCAAGCATGAGCTAGTACATCATTGCAAGTTTTCAGAAACAAAACTGAGTGGAATTGTTACTTTCGAAAAATGTTGCTGAAAGTCCAAGGAAGATCCGTTTTCCCATTTATTTCATCAAATACACAGAAGGCAAGTATGTTACACAGTTCGACATGAATGGATGTATATTTTGAATTGTTAGTTTCCATGTTCTGCAAGTTAGAAATGGATCAACTTGCAAAGAATAGAGTGTCCGACTATATTAATTGACAGTCCAATAAGTGAAACATAAGTTTGGCATGATTGAGAAAGAGTAAATCTTATTTGATAGTTTACGCTCAGATGATTGAAAACGGCTTTTATACAGTTGCAAATTCTCAATTCTTTGGCCTGCCAAAGTGCCGCCGTGAAGCTCCCGAATTGTGCTATATAATATGCAATTCTTTAATGTGGAGTTTGTGTTAAAAACCATTTTGTCTTGAGCCTTAACAAGTAGCAGAGAAAATTATTTTGTTTTATTGTTTTTTACAATCGGTAGCAGAGTCAAATTTTGTAGTCCTTTTGTTTAACTTTTTATTAGTTCCTCTTTAGTATGGAACCCACTGATACCCATAAAGCTTTCTACAACAAAAGCCAAGGAACAATGTGGTGTGTTTTTATTGGTCAATGCCTTGGGAAAATTCCCATAAGTTTTTATGAAGAATCTTACTGTATAGAGTATGGGAATGTATAGAAATATGTTGGGATGATAAATTCATGGGGCTAGAGTTTCTAATAATTGCTTTTTAAGGTGACTAGCTGAGAATGGCACATTGAGATGTTTATATAAGAAATGAAATATGAGTGTTAGGATATGGAAATAACTAGGTTTGTAATACTGACGGATTTTGAGAGAGAGTTCAACTCTTGTAAGAAATTATTTGTTTAAAAGAGTTATGAGACAAATTATTATTATTATGAAAATGTCTACAATTCACAGTTGCTTGATTGATTGAGCGACATAGCTCTTGCATTTATATTGAACTACTTTAAATAGTTTGTTTTTATTGCTTTCCTTTTCTCTTTCGAGTTATTATTTCTCTAGCTAATATAGGATTAGTGATTAATCCATTACATGTAAAACATTAGCCTTTATTCGTCACAATTATTTGTTGGTTTGAAGCATCTTCTTTTGTAAATCTTTATATCCTGAAGGGAAACTGAACACAGAAAATCCACATCTATTGTAGATACCATGAGGTTATTTCTTTTACCGTATAATTATTGACTATGTATGCTGCTTTTCGTGTCTGTATGGCAGACTTTAACGAATCATATGAATGAAGTGTGGTTCGTCCAGTTCTCTAACTATGGGCAGTATTTGGCCTCATCATCAAGTGATTGCACGGCCATCATATGGAACGTATGTTTTGAGAACCCTCCTCCAAATGTTCATTTGAAGTATATAAATAAGTTGTTATTAATACCTGGTCTTCTGATTTTGATTATTGATTTTTCTATATCAATAAGATGCTGTAGCTTTAAAATTTTTGCCTCTAAGATTGATTTTTTTTTTTTTTTGAGGTGATCAACTACAGGACATGAAATGGTTTAACTATTTATTAACACTTAAATTTCATAATTGATTGCTCTCGCTATGTCTCGTGTGTGTTTTCCTTTGAATAATATATATATATTCATTAGATTGAAGAGTGGGTGAAAGGTGATACATTGAGGCTATGTTTGAGCCCCATTTTTTTTGAATGCTTTGTAATAGTGATTTTTTTGAAGAATGTGTGATTAAAAAATGAGTAAAAGTTTTGGGTTTTATGTGCAAAAATATTTTATTGGGAGAATGTGGATGAAAATGAGTTGGGGGAAAATGAATTTTTAGAAACTGAGGCTATACTTGTATCCCTTTCTTTAATTTGAGCTGCTCTCCACATTTTCCATTTATTGTACAATTTTTTTTAATGTCTCTCTTTATGTATCCTTTTGTCAATATCCACTACATGGAAATATTTGCACTTCAAAAATTTTCAAATCTTATCATTTCCTGAGCCAAAAAATAAAAAATAAAATAAAAATAAAAAATAAAAAAAATTCTTATCATGTCTTCCTAGTTTCCTAAATACCTGCATGCCAATAGGTAGTAACATTCAAGCATGAAGAGATTGGCAATGAATGGCACGAGATGATGGATGCCTCTCTATAATATCTTGAATTTGTTCCTTTTTCATTAATGTTTAAATCAATTTTGATTTAATCTCGGGATAAATGGTAATACATTGAATCTACATCACAATTTGGAGTTTATGTACCAATAAGACAGTTGATTGGTGCTTGATTAAAGATCACAACTAGTACCACTTAATGAAATGCAGTAGTAGTACATACATGTGATTTGCTTGAGTTGACAACTGTCACTTGTTTCTATGATTTGGAGTCAAAATATTCATAATGTTATATAATATATCATCTGCAAAATTGCTAATTCATCTGTAACCACAATTATATAGTCTACCCATGATTGAATTTCATTGGTTCTGCTGTCTATGTTTGTATCCTACATTGTTCCTACCCAATTAGTATTGGTTGATAATGATATTGGTTGGTAATGAAATTTTATCAGCTCAATTTCAATTGTAAAATGTGTTTGATTAATTTTAGTTGAATCAGCTGCAGATTTTTGATAACTTCTTGTTCATTTTTGTAAGTATGGTTTCACTTTGAAGAGAATTTCTAAGTACTTGCAAGGTTGACAAATAGTTTCCACAATCAATCCATTTTTATTGTTATATTATATTACATTCAAAATAATGAAATAGTGGCACCAATTAAGTTTATAAAGAGCATTAAACTTGCTACGAGTTTCTCCACACCCCTCGAAGAGAATATATCTCTGAAACTATGTGCATGTGCCCTCCTTGTATGGGAAACATGTTTTTTGCATTCATTTATTTGGTAGTTCATGTTTTATAAGCTGAAACGGACATCAATGGGTAGAATCCCAAATGGTCTCTGCTTGAGTTAGATTCAAATTGGTCAGAATGATATTCAGCTTAAGCAACTTCGATATGCAATTTCCTTCAACCACCAAATTTTTCGCGATTCTCAATTTTTTAGTTGAAGCCACTATAATATAAATCATGCGACAAGACACGACGAAAAAGTTCTCTAAAAGGTAACTAATAGTTGATTATATCATTAGCCCTTGGTTCTCGGCAAATAAGTTATTCTCTTTCTAACCAATTAGTTAATGTTTTAGATCATGGTTGTCATTTCAAGAATTGCTGTTAGTTTTCAGCTTTACTGTTTATAGATATAGCTCTATGTTCTGTGTTCATTTTCCAGCATTTAAAAATGCTGATTTCGAGGATGAGATTGTGGAAGCTAGTTTCCTAGCTTCCTGGGCAACAGAACCTATCTTTTTGGGATGGTTGATTGATTTGACACTGGGTTACTAGACTTCTCAATTTGACAGAATTATACATATTTTACATCACATGTTTGATAATTCCATATATGATTTTGCTGTATTTCCTTTCACCGCTTCCATGAAAAAAGGAACTAGATTTCAACTTGCTTCCCAAACATGGTTTTCCACGTAATTCTTTTCTATATTAGAAATGTAGATGACTAAATACATTTCTAGGAACTATCTGGAAAGTTTTTGAAGTACCAGGCTACCAAGGAAACTTTCGCAGTGTATGGAGTTTGAGTTTCTAGTTATTCCTAGCTCTTATGGAATACTTAAATCTAGGTCATAGACTTTACATAATATAAAATAGTTTTCAATCATGTAACTTCTACTAAAAATCAGGTTTTGTTTCCTACATAGAAAAATTGTAAGGATGCTTAAAAAATCATGCAAACTGGTTATGGTTATTGAAATTTTTGCTTGCTTTACATGCTGTGATACCCAGAATTTAGGGAACTAACTATTATTCCCTATTTTCACACTTCTTTTCCCTTGTTCAGGAAGTTAAAACCTTCTTAAGCATGTTTCCTGGTGAAGTTGGACACTTAATCTCTTAGTGGCTTGAGTGACTCCAACAGTCAACTCAGGTGAGGACTACCTGTTAAGTTCCAAGATTCGGAGTAATATTATATGGAAACATTTTCTATAAAAAGTTTGTTTGTGCTGTTATTGTCTTTATGCAAGGAGAACCCTGTTTATCATTCAAATTTACATATTATTTTTAGTATTTTGACAATATGTAATAATTGGATACTCTGACAAGTATATACCTGCCTCTCTAATGAACCTATAAATCAAATGCGTCTTAGGCAATTTATATGACCTGTCAAAAATAGTAGTCTACATTGCTGTGCGCTTTAATGATTTTTTAATTACGAATTGGTGCAAGTTAATTAATTTCTTTGCATTACATATAAACTCTTCATATTTACAACGCGTATACCTATTATGTTGGGTGTGTGAATTTCATATGTTTGATCTCAGTGTGTATGTACTGTATTCTAAATGCAACTTAATTGAATTTTCTGGTTTTCGACATGCCTTGGTTTCTGAGTGCAATTAAAATCATTTTATTTTCAGGTCCAGGAAGATAACAAAGTATCATTGAAGCACATATTACGTAGCCACCAAAACCCTGTTTCCTTCGTAGCATGGAGTCCCAATGACACTATGTTGCTAACTTGTGGAAATATTGAAGTCCTTAAACTCTGGGATGTGGAAACTGGCACATGTAAACATACATTCGGCAATGATGGTTTCATTGTCAACTCATGTGCTTGGTTCCCCGATTCTAAGCGTATTGTCTGTGGCAGCTCAGTTCCCAAAAATGGCATTTATATGTGGGACTGTGACGGTAATGAGATCAAGGCGTGGAAAGGAGTGCGGATGCCCAAGGTATTGGATATCGCTGTGACAGCAGATGGAGAAAGACTCATCAGCATACTTTCTGACAAAGAAATAAGAATATTAAATGTGGCAACAAATGCTGAGCGTGTTATTTCTGAGAACCACTCGATCACATCCCTTTCAACATCGAGGGATAGTAAATTCCTAATTGTCAACCTTAACAGCCAAGAGATTCATGTCTGGGATATTTCTGGAAATGGGTCAGAACCATTTCAGTACAGGGGCCACAAGCAACAGAAATATGTGATACGGTCTTGCTTTGGTGGCTTTAACAGCCTGTTTATCGCCAGTGGAAGTGAAGATTCCAAGGTATGCTCTTCCTCTGCTGTGTTTCTCCATGCCTTCTGTATTTTCAAATGAATAAAGATGAATAAAAAAGAATCTGTGCATTTTTGCAGGTATACATATGGAATCGACGATATTCCTCTCCAATTGAGGTGTTGTCGGGGCACTTGAACACGGTAAACTGTGTTAGCTGGAACCCTAGAAAGCCTCAGATGTTAGCTTCAGCAAGTGATGATCAAACAATTCGTATATGGGGACCTAGTAGTATGTTCCATTAGGACAGCAATGTATATAACAGCTCTAGTACCTTACCTGCATTATTTCATTTGTAATTTCTCTGTAAGTAAGCAGGCTGCTTATGATTTGTCATTAAAATTTTGGCGCGAATCTGGGCTGTAAATTGTTTTTCCAGACCTCATTTCAATCTATTATTATTATTATAGTCTCGCATATTTTTGGCTTATGTTTCTTTTCTTGATCGAATCATTTAATTAAAGTGTAGTGATGAAACATGTTGACGAATTAATTACATTGCTAATTTGTGAAGAAAATTATATATAGCAAGATAATGTTTATGAATAAATTTATGTATTGAATGTAAAACTAATGTTGGTAATTCATAGATAATAGCAATATATAAATTGTTCATCGTTTTGTAAGAGGATATCCGATACTAGTACGGACTGTGAGAAGAAAGTGTCAATCATCAAAATTGACATTTTAAAATTAGAAATAAAAAATTCTCCAATGCTACCTAAATTTGACTTCATCTAGCTGACGTGAGAAGAAAAATTGAAATTGTGAAGAGGACTGTCTAAATGTAAGAGACTATAGATAGTGGATCGACAAAATCTAAATTTTCTCTTTCTTTGTATCTCTTTCCCCCCTCATCTTTATTAATTTTTTTCTGAGTTTATTCATTGGATGAGATTCAAGTTGTCGACATAATCAATTAAAGGTTAAAAAACTTGAGCATTTATTTAATAGAAATCTTTCTATTTCTAATTGTGATCACAAACACATAGAAACAAGAGTTTGACATCGGGATGCTCTAGTTTTCTTTCGTATTCAGTAACAAAATCAAATCATATCCTTTACTAATACTATATTGTGTTTATATTTGATGTCACAAAATATAGAAATCCTTCATGCATTGCAAACAAACCATTTTCCTTAAGGAGGAGAGGAGACCTGTAGATGTATCAATTTGGCTGATTATGGACTGACTAGGCCAAAAAATTAGGACACTTATGTTAGAGAAGATTGTCCTCTTGACAATAGAAAAAAGAAGAATAATAATCGAGAAAGTGCCCTAAACTTTGATTTGTCATCACATCATGTGACGATTGTTGGGTCTTGATACCCAATGAATCCTGGGATATGATGAAAACGTAGGAATATAACTTCACAAGCCTCGGTCAATGGTGAATTAATTACCAAGCAAGTCCAAAGGCTCAATCCGACCATTATATATTATCTTATAGATGACTTTGAATCTTGGCAAATTTAACCTCATGATTGGTCCAACTAAAGCTTAACCTAACTTATATATGTTGTCTTTTACCCTAGCCGAGAGTATATGATTTGTGTGAAAAAGAAGAAAAACGTGACTTCTTCTTCCTGCACATGTCGGCTGCCATATTGAGAAGAAAAAAGGGTGACTTCCCTTCGTATTTTGGTCTCTTCCATTGTTTTTTCCCATATTTTTGTGGCCTACAAATCATCACCGTTATCTTGTCTTTTGTGGGTGAGATTGAAAAGAAACCAAGGTGAATATATTAGTTGCGAGTTGAAGTCGTTTGGGTTGGTTATTTGGTGAATAAACGTAACGTAAAATTGAGCCGAAAATCACCTA